GGGGGGGGGGGGGGGGTTTACATTTTTTTATATAAAATCTAATATTATTTTAATTCGGTATACAAAAATAAAATTTATTTGAATATATTATTTTGAATATTTATTAATTTTTATATGAAATTAAAAAATAAAAACACAATAATATTTAAAACCAAAATAAATGAATTGGATATATTATTATTCTCCTTATCCTCCCCCCTAAAAATAACATTTATTATTTTTTTTTATTTTTTTTTTATTGCGTAGATTATTCTTAATTTTATTTTGTAAAATAATATTTATTAACTTATTTAATTACATAAAACCTAATTAAAAATATTATAATTTATAAATTTATAAATTTATAATTATATAATTAAAAATAAAATTCTATAATTGAGTCCCCAAAAAGGAACCATAATTGTGTCTAAAAATTTTTATTTGAATTTTTTGTCGAATAAAAAAGAATTCTCTTGGTTCATTTGTGAAAAGTCGTATTTTATTAGCAAGATTTTTTAAAAACAAAAATGTTGAAGGCGAAAAATGCCCGTTAGTAGAAGTCACTACTGGAGTGAATAAAAAGTTTTTAAAATTTTTGTATTTGTTTATCTTTTTAATTTCAGCCTGTGTTATTAAATTGAAATTTATGTTTGAAGGGAATGATGAAACACACGTGTAGTCCCATATGAGTGATTTGCCGAGGGCCCAAGGTATGGTTGTCATACCATCAGGTCTTAAACCATCTACTTGAGATAAATTTGATGGTTCGAGATTGTTAGGAATGTGTGCAGCTGTTAAGTTTCTATTTATTATATGGTTTACAGCTGAGTGGCGTTGATGTCGCCCTTGACTAAAAATGCGATTTAAGCTATGTCTACCCTTTGAATCAACGGGTGATATGCATTTGATGCAGGCATGAGGCTGTACTATATCGCAACCTAGACGTAGACCAATGGTTACTCTCAGTTGTTCATCTGATAAGAGATTACCAAGGTTGCGACTAGGGAGTGTTTCTAACCATTCATGACCACCAAGTCTGTCAGATAATTGGAGGAGTTGAATGCAATCTAAAGGTGGATTGACTGATATATCTGTCTGGTATTTAGAGATTAAAGGTGTGAAAAAATTTTTGTGTGTGATGATTGATGGTAATACGGTGTTAATGGGTGTGTTTGCCTTCCATTTGTCAATAGCGTCGTCTAATAAACGATCGGTAGGGCATATGAAGCCTGAAATCATAGAATTGTTAGATAATCTAGATGATACGAATGATGATAAGGATAAAAGATTGAGCGGAAAAAAATCTAAACCGCCTAGTTTAGAAGGTAGCTGAGCAAGTGACCAATTGAATGAGTTTAAATTTATGTTTAAAATTTTTTCAAAAAATATTTTAAATTTATCCTGAATTTTAGATATGAATTCATTGTTTTTGAAAAAAGATGATGATCGGAAAATATGCATAAATTTAGGTATGTACAGGCATTTGCGAATTAAAAATAAAGATTGATGAGCTGGTAGGAGACTAAGAATGTGCTCCATACTGTAAAAGCTTTTAAAAATCTTGTTGAGAAAAAAGTATTTCTGTATATACATCTCTAAGCCTGAGTGGACATCACTAAATTTTTTTTAAATTATCATGTATCAGATGATCATAATGAATTTACTATTAAACAAGATAATGCGATTAAAAATATAGTTATATATTTTTAATCAAAATTATGAATTTATTTTCAATAGGAAAACTTCAAATTTAATTATAAAATAATCCATGTATAAATAATGATCATATTTCTGAATGTAGCAAAGTATCAAAATACTTTTCGAAAAAAAACATAAGTAGGGCGCTACCTTAACAACACTGTTATTACCATAACAATATATATCAAACACCAAAGCAATTATTTATTTATTTTTACTATATAAAGAATGGTCAAATAATATATTCAATTTAATAAAAATATTTAAGATATAATCAAGAAAATACGAAATCATCTAAATTCAATCCAAAAATACAGTATATTTATAATAATTTCTTTATTTTAATATATATATATATCCATATTGAATTCATTGTCCATTCGTCAAATTTTAAAATTGCAAATGTTGGAATTCAGCCCCCAAAAAATTTTTGGACTGGACCGGACAACTTGTGTAATATATTTTTACGAGTGAAATTCGCTTAAAACTTACAATTTGGCAAATGTATATCTTTATCCTTCATAATTTATTAGGGCCGAAAAACCTTTTTAAAAATTACCAACATGACAAGCCCTTAATTTTAGATTTATAATATGAAATTAAAGCAATAATTGTTATATTATAATCAGGTTTGTTCTGAATAAATAAAGATATTAGATCAAATTTGGTTCGATTCGAACCTTTAAACCCCGGTTTGAACTTTTTCGCACACAAGCTTATTAAAATTATGTCAAGAGAAGCACATTTATCGATATATTAGACCTTCCTAAAAAATGATTAAGAGCCCCTATACAATTAAATATTCTTCGAGATTCTTTTTTTGTCAAATATCTACAAGGAGAAAGAATTTGTTTATACCTAAAATTAATGAAAAGATGTTAAAAATGCAATATTTTATTCAATAAAACAATAGTTGTCTATGTTGCTTAATAAATAAGAATGTGAGAATCGGAATACTAGTTCAAGCTGCTTTGCAGATATTAATGAAAAGAATATAAGATATGAAAATGAAATCTCGGTCTATTAATCTCCTTTTAAAAATTAAAAATAATTCGGGAAAGGTGGGGGGGGGAGGGTGTATGGGGGCGAAGATTTCTATAAAAATTAGTTAGTTGAGCCTCGTGAGATGGTAAAGACTGGGAATGATCGAAAATAATATCTATCAATAAATTAGAATCCTCTTACCAGTTCTTTTAGACTTCTACAAATAGTAATTATTTTTACTTTACCATCCCTCAAGCCTACCCTCTAACATTTCAAAAAAAATTAGATGCTGACAATGGATATCATGTTTCATATATGTATTTTATATTTTCTATAGCTTATCCTATCTATAAAAATGTTTATTTAAATGATAATTCTAATTTATAATTTAATATTTACGTAAAATTAATAAAAGAGTTTTTATAGTTTTTTAATACGTTAGATGCCAAAAATAAAATATATTTTGCTGTATAGTCATTATTTACAAAAAAAAATCCTTATCATCTGTCTAAAATTAGAATGCTCCACATCTACATTATTAAGATTTTTGAGTTAGGAGTGGATTTTAATTTTTAATTTACACTAAATATAAATAAGAATTAGATTTAAAAATATTTATATTTGGCCTTAGAAGCACTGTCAATTTTGAGCTATTTTCTTAATTTTCACTATATATGCCCGAGCCGGACTGTAATGATTTTTTTTTAAATATACCCATGTCGGGCTTAAAAGCTATTTTTTTAAATCGTATTGCGGCGGAAAGAGAGTTGTCTTGATGGGATATTTTTATTAGCTTATTTGTCAAAAGGGCTATCTCCACTTCACATTAGTTGTGCAAAATATATTAGCTATACAATTTTAATAGAAGTTTAAAATATCAAAACTAGAGTAATAACAATGATTCATGCACTTTTCTCTACTTAACACTTAATTTATATACTCCCTGAATTCTTTATTTAATCCTTCCAATATACTTTTATCGAAAAAGAGACCATAGGCGTTCGCAGTCTAGAAGTGCGAGGTGGATGTTCTAAGAATTTCCCCGATACCGCCCCGATATGTTATTCTAATAACGAACCAACAGAAGTTTGCATGGAACGTTACCTCTCTCGTTACAAGTTTTATCTGGCGTTCGAAAACAGTAATTGTGTACATTATATAACGGAAAAATTTTTTCGTGCACTCTCCATAGGGATGGTGCCTGTAGTATTTGGAGCTCGATATTCTGATTATGTCAAGATAGCGCCACCACTTTCTTTTATTTTTGTGGCTTCACCACTGGCAATGAAAGCGGCCAGGGTCAAGGGTGAATTTGTATTTATCTTATTTATATATATATATACATATCTTAATTTTAAAAAGGATCATAATTATCCTGAATTATTAGATTTTTTGAAATTTCTTTAATAATTCAGATAATTAGGGCTTTAAATTTTATATTATTTTAAAAAATGCTTAGAATAGGATGTAATTCAAATTAGATGATGTCATATATCATATAATGTAATGTATATTTATCAAATTACCAGGGAAACAATCTCAAAATTTATCCATTCCAAATATTAATCTTGAGATACCGAAGAATCATCCATATTTTCATTCCAACAATATAAAAGAACTAAGTAAATACCTTTTAAAATTAGATTCCAATGACACACTTTACAATGAGTATCACGCTTGGAGAGAAGAATACATTATAGTAGGTAAAAAGAACAAACATCTATGCTCAATTTGTGAACATTTGCATCTCAAGGATATCCCTAACAAATCATACAAAATATCAGATTGGTGGAATAGCAAAAGGGATTGTAAAAATTAAATTGAAAGAAAGCATCCAAAATATCAAATTATATTAAATCTCATAAAATATCTTTTTAATTATTAATAGATAAAATTCAGTTTTCTATGATTGTATGCAATATATAGATTTGGGTTGATGGGTCTATAATAATGGAGGCTAATTTGTCATGTTATTTTAAGCCCCCTGAATAGATATGGACAAGTTTAGATTTTAACCATAGTCAAATTAAAAAACTATTTTATATGGCTTAACTTAAATTCAATGTTGTAGGAAATTTTTTTATTTAAATAATAAAGTAAAATCGAAATCTTTATAAATAAAAAATTTAGCACAGCATTCTTATTTGATTTTACTAGTGCAAATCAAAAATTGATTTGAGCTATCGTTGTTTAAATATATGATGTTTATTTTAGTAAATATAGCAATAAAGGATTTTGATCCAGGTTTAATTCAATAAAAAACTGAATAGAAAACTATAATAGACTAAGTAGATCATATTATATATTCACAGTTTATTTTAATCATAATTAATATTATTTATTGTTCTTTCTAAATTATAATATCCACCCTAAATCATATAACGTAGCTTCCATTTTTTCCAATGATCCCACCTATTAAATTATTGCGTGCCACAATTTATCTCCTTTTCTCCTACCATATAGTTTTTATGTGCATGTGGACAGACTTTTTTTTAACTCATAGATCCTGGATAACTTTGTTATGTAATGGTTCCAATAGTATTTTTGTTTCAATCAAATATAGATCCTACCATTTCACTAGAAACTTATATCTTTAGAGGACATTCAGAAACTTTAGGTTTATTATATCTAGAGTTTTAACCATTGGTCTTGTTACCATATGAAGCGCCTTTGATATTCATGATGTAGTCCTCCAAATGTTTGGGTAAATGTTTCAATCTAATAGGTCAAGTCTCCCCTTAAACTGATCTTGCATCTTTCGTTGTTTGTTCCTCGTTATTGGCTCTTTCCCTTTCGCGGTAGGACGCTCGCCTTCATGTTCCTCTATTGCAGATGGCTTCGGTGTATTTTGATTATTAATCTTAGCATCGGAATTTCATTCGAGGATCTTTTTTAATTTGATACAGGTGTCTTTACAGTCCCCCGTATTCACTTTGTAAGTGTTGGAAACGTGAGAAGTAGTAAGAAGGCAATTTTAATCTTTAAGATTTTCTTAGAATCAAATACGAAATATTTTTTTAACACACTTTTATTTTTCTTTATTATATATAATTTTCACAATTTTTAAACCAAAAAAAAGATAATTTTCTGTTTCAATTTCGGAAAAACATTTAAAAAAAATTATATGTATCAAAATTATAATATATAAATCTATATCAAAATCGCGAGCGAAACTATATATATATAAAAATCAATAATATCCAATCGATATATATTTTTTTCACTTTAATCAATAACCTAATTATGACAAAAAAAATCAATACATTTTCATATCATATTACAACATGTACCCCCTTCTAAGGATAAAATCCAGGGTACCTACTAAAATTTATTTATATATAAAAAAAATATTTACACAAATACAACAAAAAAAAATCATGGGACCGGAGCGTTTATGAGGGATTCTTCTATTGAATCACTCATTTCCACCTCCGTTCCATTAATATTAAAATCAATATTTTTCACCTTTTTATTTTCCGCTGCTTGACCGAATTTATATAACCAACGTCTTTTTGCAACTTCTTCTGCTTCCCTCGCTATTAATCGTGCATCGTCCATTATTCTCCGCTGTTGCCCCCCAGCCCAACGATCGAGCCCATTATTCAACGTATAAGATGTGCTCACCCCACTCGCGCAATCCCTAGCTTTGTGTCCCCGTCCACCACAATTAAAGCAATTTATGTTAGTTCCTCTCATTCCCAGTTGTCTCATGGGAATAGTAGCCGGTCCAGACGCATATTTTGCATGTAACGCCACTTTTCCTTGCGATGACATAGTACCATACGAGTATGTTTGTGTTGCTCCTTCTCCAGTTTGTTGCTCAATCCATGCATTGTGCCATTTATCGGCGAGTGGATTGGACATGTCTAACGAATTAATTTTCAGCATTGTCCTATTTGTTTTGATGTAGTAAGTTCCCATAGATTCAAAAAAAAATTTTTCTTTTCTCTTGATTTTTTTTTAAAAAAAAAAACTCACAACAATTTACACAAATAAATATTACACAATAATTTTTTTTAATTAAAATTTCTTTCTTTTTTAATTGCCCACAAAATTAATACAATACTATTATTATTATTTCTGCCTTTTTAATAAAACACAAACATAACACATACCAAACTTGAAAATAACATAATTTTCCCTTTTTTTTAACAATCGAACATTTTACATATAAATTAACCAAATAGTTTACATACTACCCTACCAGTTGTTTTCTCTCTTTTCCTTTTAACCTCAATTTCCCTCATAAAAAAATTCTTTTTTACACACCGCCTAAAATTTTCTTTTTTAACTTTTACAATTTTTCAACCTCGATTCCCTTCGTAGTAAAAATTCCTTTTTTTACACACCACCTAAATCGTATTTAAACTTTTACAATTTTTATTTTACCAACTTCTATAATTAATTATCTCTTTTTGCTACCCTCAATTTTTATTTATTATTTTTTTTTTTTACACATTTTCTCCTAAATTGAATTCTTTATTCAATCAACAATTTCAAAAACATAACTTTAATACATCCTATAACTAATTCTTTAGCCATCGTCCTATAGCCACCTAACTCCAAACATTTAATTTTTCTGCTGATTTTATTTCTTTTCTACAAACTCTCTATTTATATATACGTTTACATTCACGGTCCACAAATTAAGATTGGCTGCCCCCCACAAATTAAGATTGGCTACCCTACAAGAGTCCCAATTCTCCAAAAAAAATTTTATATACATATTTTTTTTTTAACTTTTATTCAATTTTTTCTACTTGATATATAAATTTCTCACAAACAAACAATTTAAATTTTTATACTTATTCCTTAAATCAATCATATCATTCCTTAGTAGAACCAAATTCTCTTCTCCTTCTTCTAATACACTTTCATTTTTTAATTTTTTTCTCACAAATTTCACCGGAAAATTTTTCGATACAGGTAATTTTTCCCTCTCCAAATTTGAGTCTTTGTAAATCTCATCACATTTTATATAATTATTCACCATACTCGATTTCCCTGAAATTATTTTATTGTCTATTTCCAAATTAAAATTTTCATCATCAATTCCCAAAATACTTTCCACTTTCAGATCAACCAAAATATTTTCAATTTCCAAATCATTATTTTTTTTAATTTCCGAATTTTCCAAAATATTATCAACTTCCAAATCAACCGAAATATTCTTAATTTCCAAATCAATATTTTTTTCAATTTCTGAATTTTCCAAAATATTATCAACTTCCAAATTAACCGAAATATTTTCAATTTCCAAATCAATATTTTTTTTAATTTCCATATCAGGCTCAGGTATTAAACTTATATCAATTTTATTATCCAAAATATCAAGTTTTTCCTGACTCCTTTTATCACTTATAATTTTTTCATTTTTCTGAACTTCCTCAGAATATATTTTTAATTTTATCATCTTTAGTATTTTACTTTCCACAAATTCATTTTCTTTATTATCCAAAATTTTTTGCTTATTATTTATCATACTTTCAATTTTATTATTCTCTATAATTTCTTTCATTAACTTATTACCTGAGTTTTTACCACCTCTTTTATAGATTTTTTTAATACTTCAATATTTTTATTTTCATTTTTCCCCTGAAATATATTCAACAAAATATTCTCTAAACCAAATTTTGATATCCAATTCCATCCCAAAACTGTATCAATTTTTTCTTCTAATACCCACAAATCCAAATTTATTAATTCGTTATTTATTAATACCGGTAAATTTACTTTTCCTAATGCCATAATTTCTGAACCATTTAACTGTCTTATTCTCATCTTATTTTAATTATGTGTTCATTTGGCCATAACTTGTAAAATTCATTATACCCCATCACAGATATTGTTGCCCCTGTATCCAATAACATCAAAATCTCTTTATTTCCTACATTCACTTTTACTCTTGGACATTGATCAAAATTTTTATTATCTTCCAACTTAAAGATAGGTAAATTACTAATATGTATATTCTTTCGTGTTTCATTTTCCAACAAATTTTTATAAATCCCATAAGTGTTATTATTTCCTTCATTTTTTCTTTCTATTTCAATATGATCATTTATCTTATTTTTATATATATTTTCTTTCAATAGATCCAACTCATTTTTTGATGTAACTCTTCCAAATGTTTTTATTCCACTATCATACAGTCATCCTACTGTACAATCCTTCGCATAATGCACAATATTTCGACACTTATAACAAGTTATATCCTCTCTATTAATTCTTTTAACTATATTTTTCTGCTCATTTCCTACGTATTCCACCGCTGGAAACGCTTTGCAAACTCCTTGTTCATTTTTATAACATTTATCCTTAGTATGTCCTAAATTCCCACAATTTTCACAAGATATCTCATTTTTTGGTTCTCATTCACCAATTTGTACGCTGGAACGTAACATTCTTCCGCATTATGACCCTTATTTCCACATCTTTTACATATTTTCGGTATAACTCCTGTATTTACCTTGGCATTACATTCTCTGCTTAAATGCCCAAATTTTCCACAATTATAACATTCTTTTTGACTTTTATAATTTTGTTCTATTCTTTTATTTATATTTTTTCCAATTCCTTTATTTTCATTTTTATTTCTGCTATTTCTATTTTTAGTATTTCTTCCTTCTTTCTCTTTATTTCCATTTTCCTCTCTTTTCTTTAATTCTATTTCTTCTATTTTCTTTTTTTCCGCTTCCCATTCTTCTCTCATATCTCTTTTCAATTTCTATTTCTTTTTTTTGTTCTATTCTTTTCATTTCATTATTTTCATTTTCCTTTTTTTAATTTCCATTTCCCTATTTTCCTGTTCAATTTGCT